AGTCCTGCTTTCTGTATCTTTTATTTTTAACCGTTGACCGAAAACGCTCGTCAACAGACATCATTATGTTAATTTTAAATAAAACAAAATCACATATGAGTTCATTTTTTCTATATTTTACTTCATTTATGCAATGATATGTTTAATAAATAAATTAATTTATTTTACAAACTTACTCTGCGAAAATCATTCGACACCACGTGTATCGCACGTGCACTTTACTAGTATTTTAAAATGACACTTGTTACTTGTGCAATTTACATGTGTATATTATATTAAATAATATAATTTATATCATATAACTACTTGAATACAAATATGTTAATTGATAAATTTTATTTTTCTTATTAATATTAAAAAATAATTTTATTATTGTTATAAAGATAAATATAAATTTATTTTCTTATACATAAAATATGGATGTTAAATCGAAGTTCATCAAAAGGTGATTAATTTTATATATTATATATATAAAACTGATAAAAAATACAAAAGTTATTAACTTTTAAAATATATTTACAATTCAATTGTTATAATAAGAAATTATATTAAAATGCGATTAATACATATAACATAACCATAAATGATCAACATATTTATTGATAATCTGAACCTAATTATATTTGGATTGGAAGTAAATTAAAATTTATCCGAGCCTAATAACAAAGCATGTAATTTTACCACATAGGATCCCGAAGCATGTGAGTCTAACATTTAGACTCAGAACATTCTGAATTAATATATAGGGGATAGTGACTGTAGAATATTTTTCGAAGTGTAAATTCTTCTTCCACTGTCTATATTGTGTTGGTTCGGTTAAAAAGTAAAAACACTTGCTACTGGCGGTGATGTACAAGTATATCTCAAGGCACATTGAAGTGCATTTGACTGTGACCACTAAGTTTATGTACCTCGTTTTTTTTTATAATGTTTACCCATCATATCTATTTGGAAATCTAGGTGTTCTGCAAAATAATTACATCAAAATTAGTATTTTATTGATGTATGTAAAAGTTGAAACAGCTGAACCTTTAAGATTAAACTGCCAATGATCCTATGTCTTGAAAAGATTGAGGGCAAAGAAAGAAATATAATTTAGATTAGTGTTCACTTGAAAAATGTGAATAGTCAGCTGAATCACTTGCTATACTGATTAGTGAAGATGTAAAAGCAAAATAACAAGACATATATATGTTGCATAATGCAAACGTTGCACAATACAAACGGGGAGACCAGTCCGAAAGCAGTCACTAATTTAAATAGTCAAACAGAGATGGGCCTTTTTCCTAGTTAACAAATTACAAACCGTACCGTAGACTTGATAGAAATAGCATAAGTTTAAGTTTCAAAAGAGAAGTTCTTAGTACCAGAGAGAGAGAGAGAGAGAGAGAGAGAGAGAGAGAGAGAGAGAGAGAGAGATGGTTACAGCACAACTGAAGATGACCAGAGTCCTAACCATGGTTTGGTATGTATGTTGGGGGTAGAAGAACCCAAAGTGACCAAAAAATCAAAGGGTAACTTCTGATGCACTGAACCTCCACAGCCATCTGATGGAGCTTCTTTCAAGGTAAGTGACAAGAGCTAAAAAATTTGTCCCTCATCAAAAAAGAGAAGGAAGAAAAATAGATCTAAAATGAAACCATGATTGGATGTTTATACATAGATGAACAGTTAGTTCCATCAGCAAGATCTTCCTCATCCTAAGAAGAAAAGATCCATGCATTTTTCAAACAGTTTTAAAAATAGACTCTAAGGTGCAAAAACAAAACCATAGTAGTCAGATTTTTCTTAATCCTGAGACTAGGGCAACAACAAACAAAACCTGGGGCATCCTCTGCCCTGATTTCCTAATCTAGTACGACTACTAACAACTACAACATCAAAGTTTAAGGTTGAAAAGATCAGACATTTCGAGATAAACATTTTCAAAATGAAAGACCTCCATTTGTGATACATATTTGACAAACAATTACAAAAAGGACTGTTTGCATAATCCCCTTTCCTTTTAGGGGGCAGTGTCAAAATGTTTTCTTTTTGTCTTGCTTAGCCTTTCCAGGGCTGAAAAACAAGGACAAATAAGATGCACCAACTTGTCCTTCGAAAGTAAGGCCTGAGTTGGTGGGGGGATGAGATGCAAATGTGCATGCAAATTCTGTTCTCATGTAGGAACCTTTCCTACAAAGAGAAGTTGATGAAAAAGGATGTGTTTACTCCAACACTGGATGTAACCCCTATAGGGGGTATATTCCTTGTGTTTTGGATGGTCGAATGCCACAGGCATGGGCCAAGAGAGAATGAGATAGAAAGAAAACCATGGTAAGGTCAAAGGTTCGCTTCAGAATGAAGTGTGTAGCAAATCAAATTGGAAGAATGATGCATTCTTGCTCGATCAGTTAGATAGTGGTCTCTCTAACGATGGGGTATAGGTGTCGGCAGAGTCATGGTCATGCCTGCGGCACAACAAAGCAAACTGTCAAAGTATTAATAATCTCACCAAAATTATAAAAAGAAAAACGATGTAAAATAAAAAAATATTCAAAGGTGGTGGTTTTAACTTTGCACAGATAGGATTGTACAAACCTGATTGAAGAGGATTTGGGGGGGCAAGAGAAACAGGGGTGCCATAATGTGAGGGGAAAATGGCAGTCGAGTTGATTGGTGAATACTGGAAGAGGTGTTGGTGTTGGTGGGGATAGTGAACACCATAAGCACCACCGCTGCCACCCTGTCCGGCTGAGGAGTAGCCTGTTGCTCCTCCAATCGTCCCCTCATTGAAGCTGAGATAGGGGTTGTAATAAGCGGATGCAGAACTGCCTGTGACAAGTCCATTGTTCCCAGATCCATACAACTGATATTGTGTGCTTGTTCCTCCATACAACCCATAGTAGCTCTACGCAAAACAATTTTTCAATCTTTGTTTAGTTTTCATTCAGCTAGACCCGAGGTAATTAACATTCAAGCTAATTATACATATTAATTAAGTCAAACATTGATTTTCTTCTTTGTTTTTTGGTACTCCGTTTATTTAGTGTAGGTTGCAGTACGGTTGTCGACTTGCAACTCTTCAAACTATAAAATCCAGAAGAGGATGGAAAGTAAATGTGACTTGAAAATATAATAGCACAGAGTAATGATTCATACTAGTACGGTATGGTGGATCTATAAAAATAAATTATGTAGTCCTACATTACATTTAATTCTTAGTCATGACTGGAGCACATAATGCTAGGCCATATATTCCAATGTTTTATTTTTTTTTTTTCGAAATGTGGTCCCGAGCTTAATAAATAAGGATAGGAAAAATGAGATCAAATTTATATTCTTATTTTCTATAGTGAGATCACACAAGTGACAGAGAGGAAGTTATATTTATTTGTTTTCAGTGATAACATCGTATCAATAAACCTAGTATACATCAAGAATATTAGACACGTATCAGGTAGAAAATATTAAAAGATTAGTCCATTATTAAAATTAGGCGAGACATAACTATTATGGGAAGCAAAATATGAACAAGGTGCAAGCGGGTAAAGAAATATGAGAGGTTAGAACAAACCGTGGGATAAGCATAGTCAGCAGAGTACGGAGAGTACCTGAGGTTTTCACAATGAAATCAACACACAAGACGGCATCAGAATCTCAACCATGAACACAAGCAATCCCTATTCATTATCATGGATTCATGTTTATCTAATATAGTTATTAAACAAATTATTATCATAATGTAATGTCCATCTGATGTAGCATCTGTGATATAATTATGAGCTAAATTATTATTGCAAGACCTTAATGTTCATCTGCTATGACACCAAATTATTAATAATATGGCTTAATAATTATTAAGAAGCAAATGGCAGCATATATTCATATTCATGATCGTGGGGGAGAGGGATAGGGAAGACAGGTCACATCATGTGTGTGTGTGAGATGGAGAGAGAGAGAGAGAGAGTATGTCTGAATGGAGTTGATGATGGGGAAAGACCATCAAATTGGCCAGAGAGAGGGAGAGAGAAAGAAAGAGGAGTAAAAAATACATTAAAGAAATGAGTAGGCATGCGAGAATAGTAGAAAGTGATAATGTGATGTGCCCCCATTAGGTGGCAGTGCACGTGATGCCATTCCAAATGCAAATAGACAGCAAAAATGAAGAAAAAAACAGAGGCAGTAAAATAACAAATACATACCCATAAAGATTGTAAGGAATGCCTTGTTGAATGGAGTAGTGGGGGAAGGTTGCAGCTGAAGTAAAAGCTGCTCCAATTGCCGCCTGATGATGAAAACCTCCTATCACCCTTATGTTCCTCCCTCCTCCTCCTCCTGCTAAGTTGCACCATTTATCATTTTTTTTTTTTCACAATTTTTATTTATACGACATATTTGCACTTCATCACATATTTACCTACTAATTCATTAATTAGTCAATTAATTGTTGATTTTAAGTATCAAGAGCTAGCTGTAGCCTGTAGTGAAGGCTTTTATTTTACTCTTTATAGTACAGCTAGGCATGGAAAAGAAAAGAAACCCCAAAGAAAATTACCACACCACACAGCAGATAAAGCAAAAGTGGGAAATGAGCTGTCATGCTTTTCTAAAATATATATATGTATGTATGTCCTCATGTGCTGTGGCCAGCCGTATACACACTAGCTTAGCTATTAGTACTTTATTTGTGGTGATGGAAAACTTATTTGAATTTTCTATACCCATTCTTTCATTCAAATTACCCCAACAGAAAAGGAAAATAAAGTTGGAAATGTAACCCAAACAAAAGGAAAAAAAGGAAAATAAAGTTGGATCTTTTCTTCCAGATAATAATAATAATAATAATAATAATAATAATAATAATAATAATAATAATAATAATAATAATAATAATAATAATAATAATAATAATAATAATATGAATATACAGGTTGTTGTAATACAACTTCACTTAATTTAGAGCATAATGAAATTCATTTAGAGTAATCAACAATGAAACCATACCATTCTTGGGAGTAGAAGGTTTGGATCTTTGAACACCCAATGAAGCAAGATTGCAATTAGCCCTCCTCCCATCAATCACTGGAGTAGGATCAATACAAGCTCTCATAGCTGCATCTGCTTCCCGGAAAGTTACCTGATCCATGCATCATTCCAATTCAATCCCCACAAGTTAGTTAATTAATTGAGTAGGTCTATAGATATATGTATATGCATCTTCTGATTTTTCAAGAGAAAATGGAACATCATCTCTTGATAAATTACCGGCAGGATTGTAGGTATTATGTATAGTTGTTAGAAACCATAATAATTAAACACACACACACACACACACACACACTCTCTCAGATGCCTTTGATGGATTAACATTAAAAAAAAAAAAAGATAGAGGTAGCGAGACGTACAAAGCCATAGCCTTTAGATCTTCCGGTGGCTTTGTCGGTGATGACAACGGCCTCGAGGATCTCACCAAACTGTTGAAAGTAGTTGCTCATGGTGTCCTTATGAGTCTCCCATGCCAGCCCACCGACAAACACCTTCGTCTGCGTCGTGTCTCCCAACTGTGCTGCTACGTTCGCCGCCGGCCTCATCTTCTTCTGATCCACACAGAAAATGAAGTATAGAGACAAATCTGATATAATCGATCAAAATACAGTTAGTTTCAATATGGGATCCGAATATACATTGGATGATGAAGAATATTTAGTACTACTGAGGTACTTACTGGGATTCTCGAGGGTGTCTTTGTTTTGGATGAAGATTGAAGAGATGCAAACAGAAAGAAAGATAGACGAGTAAAGTAGCTATTATTAGGTCAAAGAAAGAAGAGAGAGAGAGAGAGAGAGGGGGTGTGTGTGTGTGTGTGTGTGAATTTGGGCAGCCAGCGAGGGAAAAAGATAAAGTTGGAGGGAAGATAATAAAAAAAGGATAAATTCATTATCAAAGTCTGACAAAATTAAATATTAGTATTATAAATATTAAATAGCAGCCCCACATCTCTGTAATATTTCATACCCCGCCCTTTTACTTCATAAAATCATCTATAGTCCTTATCTCTACTTAAGTGCGGATTTTATTCTACTCTAAAGTAAAATTAAACGTTCATCTCCGGTCATTATCTCTATATTTTACTCAACATCACATGTATCATTTTTAATTTATTTAAAATAAATTAATATATATATATGTATATTTAATCCTATATAAATTTTATATAAACTTTTAATTTTAATGAAAGCTACTTGTTTGAATGTGTTAAATTTTTATTCATATAATATTATTTTAATATTAGAAAAATACAAAATAAAATATAATACATCAACAAATAAAAATAACAACATTATTTAGCATAGAAAATATATTGCACAAAGTTATTTAGCACAAATATACATTTACTAATACACATTATACAAAAATTTATCAATAATATTACATTAAAATGCAAAAAAAAAAAAAACATGTAATGTTGGTGCTACAACGTTGCGCCAAATGTGACGCAACACTATTCATCTCTCATATAGCACACTGCGCACATACCTGCGCTACGTCAGAGACGTGTTCTGCTCTATTTTAGCGCAAAAGACACATCTAGTGCAGCGCTGCAAATGGTCTAACCATCTTAATCATTTAGTTGTGTCTCAATCCTCCATTCCCCTTATATATTAATTCAGAACTTGCTTAGCCTAAGTGTTAGACTCGCATGTTTAGGGATCTTATGTGGCAAAATTACATGTTTCGTTACTAGATTTGAGTTTATATAATTTACTCCAATCCAAAAATAATTAGGCCTGGATCTATAATCTATAATCTATAATATATAATCTATAATCTATCTATAATCTATAATTTATAATCTATAATCTATAATCTATAATCTATAATCTATAATAATATAAAGAGGTTGTTGGAAAACACTTTTATAGTAAGTTTGACTACAAAAATAAATGGTTTGACTTACTATTAGGGGAAATTTTAGGAAAAAAACACATGTAAATATTTATGAATCAAATTTAATTGAGATATCCTAAAAAAATTGGAGATTCTTATGGTAATAAATTTGGAGATTCTTATACCAAAATTTCATTCGTTTTAAATATTAATCCATAGGAATCTATTTGTATTGGTAACAAATTTGAAGATTCTTATGTCAAAAATTTGAGATTTTGAATTTAGATATCCCAACAATCACGAT